GCTCTGGAATACTTTTAATTTCATTTATTAATTTTACTTATTTTATTTTTTTATCTCATTATAGTGGAGCAGACGTTCTATCGTTACACACTTTTTTATTACTCTTTGAGTTTTCCAGCATTGAGATGAATATTTTGTATCGCTTACCGAAAGTTTTTTTTTTTTTTTTTTTTTTTTTTATGGCAAAACGAAAGCACTATCTGACCGTAGAACATATGCAAATGCTAAATGAGTCAAATAGCAGCAGATATTATATTCCTGTGACTAATGCAATGTTGGACTTTGCGTACACCCATGTTTCAGAGAACATCATACACAGTCTCATTTTGAAAGATTGCTTACTTTTCATTGTTTACTCATTGAATTTTTATGAAAGACAGTTTTAATACTTTTTAATTTTAACTGTGTGTTGTGTTAAATAAAATCTGCGATTGTTTGGATATTTTTCCATATATATTTATTTGTGGGATAAGAGGGAAATTATATTATTCTAGAATGAGTATTTTATAAAAGAAGGAAAATATAATAATAAAGGCTTAAAAGTAATTCTGACGACTGCTTGAATGTTCTCATAATGTACCCAAAATTGGAAAAATTGGATGACAAATTTCATTTATATGATTTTTTTTCCCAAAGTTAGGCTTAGCAGCATAAATTGCCCTTCCCCACAGGATGACGCATCCGGTTAATGCGCCCTCCCAAGAGAACGCTTCGGTAACAGAGGTGCCCGTCAGGAACTTGTTAAGGGGACATATGACATAAAAATTTTCTATTTTGGGCTAAAAAAATAAAGTAGCCTGAGACGATTCCAAAAATATGTAATTTATCCATGTTTAGAAATTTTAAGACAGAAATCTTTCATTAAAAAATGTAAAAAGCACTAGCAAGCCCACCAGTTGAGAAGGGACAGATGTCTGGTGTGGCAACAATAAAGCCCTATCAGCTGGTAAAAAGTTATGTTCATACACATTCTTTTTTTTTTTTTTTTTCTGAGAAGTCTTTAGAAGTCTTTTTGACAAAAAACTACTGTCAAATCACATTCATGGAAGATGTCAAAACCCACCACTCAACCGGTATAGTGGTTAGCAACGCTGCCATGCCGAAGAACCCGTGTTCGAATCTCAGAGAAAACATTGATGTTTGTAAATGTATAGTGTCAGTGCGGCATGAAGCACCCGAAATGTGGCAAATCGAAAGTTCTCTTGAGAGGTGGGTGCTAGGGGGAGACCTTAGCACCCGTCCCCCCTGTGGTGCTCTCCATCAAAATTGGGGAGGAACTGAGCTAAATTGCACTGTCACCTGTAATGTGCTCAAGGCTGTTGCCAATGACAGGTGCTCTTTGTGCTGTTATACGTCAAACAAGTGAACAACAACAATTCAAAAGCCGAATGAAAGTTTTAATAAATCTGGACATACATACCAAAAACTGTTTTTGTGAGTGTCATCACATTAAAATTAGGTTTATTAGATGTGGTAATATGTTTTAATGATAGTGTAGAATGTCGCAATAAATAATGGAATTATTGGGAATACAACCAGGGTTTTATATGATAAAGTTTTTGCGAAAATAGATTGTGATAGAATTCGTGAGGCTCATCTCACTTACCAAAAGCTTTCTAAAATGGCTAGAAAGAAACATAAGTTAATCAAACAAAAATAACTAGATGCAGAAATGTCAGTTCAAGATGGTTACGGTGCAGGAAAATGTTAAAATGATTTTTTTTATAAATTATTAGTGTTTGAATTGTTTTTCAGTTTTTCTCAAAACGTGTTTTTTTAACTTTCGGTACACTTTTCTTGAAAACTATTCAGCCTAGAAGGTTTAAATTTGCCACGGTTGTTTATCGTAACTATTTCTTTGAAACTAAGCATGATATAAAATTTATGATCATTAGTTTTGGATATATTAAAAATTTAATACCATTTTTTCTATGATTTTCAAAACATTTTTTACTAATTTATTTTTAATAAATTAGTAAAATGTTTTTTAGTAAATAATTTTGTTTTAAGTAAAATGTAAAATACTGCTTATTATTCTTAAATGATATGTTTTTAACCATCATACAAAATTTTGAAGGAGTTTGATGCAGTATTTTTTAAGAAAAGTGTACCAAACTAGCACACTATCACAGAAGATTCATCAAAGTTAAGAGAAATTAAACAACTGGTTTTTTAAAACATTAAGCTTTAAATTTACACTTTATGTGGTATATATAATCTACAAGCTATTTTAAATGAAGAAAGAATTTAGAGAATATGTTTATTTTGAAAAAAGTTATACCGTAATAACCTTTGTCCCGAAATAGTTGCATTTCCCCAGTCAATATGTCACATGTCCCCTTAAAAATGGCTTGTAGTCGCCAGGAAGCAATGAACAGCATTTGAAAATTAATAATTTTTTTATCATAAGGATGGAAATTTGATTCAGGATATTGCTAAATTAGTAAATTTATCCCATTCTACAGTGCAGTATGCAATAAAATGCTCTAAAGAAGAAAATTGGATTCAAGATAAAGTAAGATGCTGTCCAGCAAAGAGGACTTGACATAGAGATTTTTTGTTAGCAAATCTGTGAAAAACCCATGTTTGAGTATTGTAAAAATTTCTACAGAATTGACTGAAAATTTTTCTACTTCAATTTCACTTAAAATTATTTGACAATTGACACATCAGCTGGATTACGTGGGCACTCTGCTCAAAGAAAACATTCCTAGAGTGCAAAAAATTGACAGCTTAGGCTTTTCTTCTCAAAATCAATGGTATATAAGCCCAAAACATAATTGAATCATGTCTTATTTGCAAATGAAAGCAAATTTAACATTTTTGGTTTCGATGAGCATATAATTGTATGGAAGGGGAAAAAAATGAGGAGCTTAATCTCCAGAGCTTGGTTAGAACAGTAAAGCATGACAATGCAGGTGTTCTAGGGTGAGGATGTATGTCAGCATAAGGATTAAATAATTTAGTATTTATTGATGGCACAATAAATAATGCTCTTTATTTAAATATTTTAAAAGATAATTTTAAATTGCCCACCTAAAATTTTTATACTGGAAACAACTTTATTTTTTATCAGGGTTAGTGATCAGGCAAAAATGGATCTCAACGTTCGCCTTTTGGATGTCTATAATAATTATCCACAAGTTCTGAAAATACCACCTCAGTAACCAGATTTAAACCCAACAGAATACATTTGGAGACAATTAGAGGTTAGAGTGCGAAGACATATTAAAATAAAAACCGAAGTAAAAACAGTAACGATGGAAGAATGGAGGAACATTGATGCAGATATTACAATAAAACTGGTTAACTCTATGCCCAGACGTTTAAAAGTTGTCATAAATACTGCAGGATATACTACAAAATACTAACTGATAGAAATACTACAATATTTAATAATATATGCAGATTTCTTTAAACCATCCGAAGCATTTTGTGAGGTAACTTTTGTTACTTTTTTATTATTGATTTTCCAAAAAAAAAAATTGTAATATATTCATAGAATAATTAATCTAGTTTTGCTAAGAGAAATTTACAGATATTATTAAAAAATTTTCATTCTAAAATATTAATTTTTGTTAATGAATAAAGCAATATTTAACTGAAACTCGTAAGTGTACGAACACTTTTATGAGCCAATATATTTGCATATGGTATATTTCTTTTGTTGCACAAGCCCACTGATGAAGATACAGCAAAAGATGTAAATTTTATTTTATTTTATTTATTTCGGTTTTCTGCAGCTTACCACTGTGCTTGTATTTTGCATATGGTTTATTCCAAATTAAACATGGGATGAATTTTAAACATAATTTTTATTTTATTTTATATTATTACCACCACATGTTGTTACTATCAGCATTCAGTTGGATAAGGTTTTGAACTGTTCACTATTTCCTATTTATTCATATTTTGCCCTCCCCCCATTTCTTGCAGTTTGCCACTGTGCTTCTGGTTTTGCATACGGTTTATTTTGAAATGAATACTGGATGAATTTGAAACACACTTTTGTATTTTATTTTGCATCATATACATACAATCCATATATGAATGTGTACATATGCTCAGTTTTACCACTATTCAGCAATTTGTCAAAAAACAAAGATTTTGATTATTTGCTACACTTTGGGATTGGAAATTATCCATGTATACCAGGGATTTTGAGTCAGGTTTGGGGGGGAAGCAGTCAACCTATTAATTAGCTGTTAGGTAGTCAGTTTTAATTTATGAATATAAAAATATTACTTTTACTAAAGTTTAGGTATTTATCAATATTTTCTGCATTTTTTATTGTTTACTATATAAAACACAATAAAAATCATCTAAATCTAGATGAATGTATATATTTATTTTTCGAGTTCTGGAAAGGAGGGAAGAATGATCTTCTAGCAGTGGTGAAAAGATAGATGGAGCAAAAAAGGTTGAAAATATCTGATCTATGCAAGGCTTTGATATTAACTCAAAATCTGAACCAGTATTTTCAATTAATTCAATAAATCATTTCACAACATATTCTGAAATCTATTACTATCTTGTAGAAATTTAATTACTTTACAAACGTTTACAGAATTAATTTACAACATAAAATATCGATCAGTATTAATCGACCTTGATTAATAAATCAATTGTTGTCAGCTTAGAGAATTCTGCAACATGCAAGTTTCTATAACAAATAACATGAATATTCAAAATTTGTACTCTTGTTTTCATTTAACTTAAAAAGTTCGTTTTTTTAAAACAGACACTACGCCAAGGGGAGTTTTAATTATTCTTGTTTTCAACCCTGAATATATATGCAAAATATTTAAACATAAAATTAAAACTAATGCCAGCATTTAATTTTGTTTCAAATACAATTCACAATGTTTTAAATGGTTATTCATTTATAACTTTTTTATTAATTCATAGTTTGTTATTTTTAAATAATTTTATTTTCAATAAGCTTTTAACATAATGCTTACTTTAACATTTCTCATTCAAAATTTTAAAAGTTTTTTTACCGGAAAATTTCATTCATTATTCCCTGCTTGAAAACGAAAGCTCAGTTCCCGAGTGATACCGCCTCCAGTGCAAAATCACGTGTAAACAGAACGTACTTTAGCACACGTTACCAGAATCAAGAACAACTGGAACCTACTACGCAGAGAATTCGCGCCACTGCATCAAACAGATGATAATTAAGCGGGATCATCGGAAGCAGAAGTGCATTAACCAAGCATATAAACAACACGCAAACATATTTAAATGCTTAATTTTAGTGATGTAAAGCTGATAAATTAAAAATCTAAAACTTTTTTTTATAAAATTCATGATGAAATAAGCATGTTATTATTTTTTTGAGTCATTAGGGACACCTTAATTATTTAAATTTAATTGAAGATAAGTTTTTATAGTACATAGCTTCGAACATAGTTTTCGCCGTCTTTCGAAGCCTCTGAGGCCATGGCCAACCTGCAAATCGGAACCCGGAAGCGCGTTTTACGTCATCACCGGATATGTATCTTTCATGTCTCTGTTGGCAACAAAGCTTGGCGGAGCATTTGGCGTCATTTTAATTAAATTTGCGTGCAAGCACAAGAATTAACGCCAAATTAGTTTACATGGTAACAGCGAATGTGAGGTGTTTTTTTTTTTCGGGGGGGGGGTCCTTTTTTAGGGACTCACACTTTTCAGTATTATATTAGATATTTCATCATTCGAAATCCTTCCTTTGAATTGCCATCAAAGGAACTCAGTATGGTTTTAAACTAACTGATGATGAAAATTATGATATGGCAAATAAAATTGTGAAAATTCTACAGATGATCAGGATGTTAGTATTAAAATATATGTTTTGAGTGAACTGACAGATAATTATCAAAATTTAAGAGAACTCATTGATTTAGATAAATATTATAATATTCATGATAGCATTTTAAATTTTATTGATTATAGTCGCTTTGTTGCTAGTAATTTTTTTAAATTACAGGTAAATTTTGAAACATCAAACAGTAATACAATGGCGGAGTCTAAATGATGTAAAATAGAATATATGTCAGGAGGTAGATACTTATATTCTTATACTTGTTCAACTGTTTTAAAAGGTAAAAAAGATTTAAAATTATAAATACATATCGAAAATGTACCACCTGTTAATATAGAATTAATTTTTTTTTTTTTTTAAATAGAAATTATGTAAAAGACCTTTAGCCACAAAGGCCTTAACGAAAAAGCCTTTAAAAAAATGATACTAAATAAAAAGAGATGGAAGAATTCAATAAGATCAGATCTTATCCAAAAACACTAAAGTGAAAAGATTTAGATTCTGGAAATTATGATCTGCTGTCAATGAAAAAAATTCAAACAAAATTTGGAGATTCTGTCATTGTTAAATTAGATGTGAATGATGAACCAAAAGAATATTATCTTGCTAAAAAAAAACATGATCTTTCTGATAAAGCCATAAATGAAATTAATAATGGTGAATACCTTTTCTGCTATAAAGGAATGAAAGATGAACAATATGTATATAAATTAGTTTGAATGTAATAATCTTAATATTCATTTTTTTATATTATTTTAATTTTCACGATAACACCTTGCATTTACGCGAATATAGTTGACAATCAAAATAGTTCTAGTGTCCAGAGTGTCTTGCCAAATGGTTACTTTTGCACAAAGATTTTCCCAATGCAAAATGCAGTAAAATTATTTTTTCCCCTCAAGTTTTACTTTTTTAATAAAGCAACGAATACTTTTTTTTTAACCTCTCATGGAAGGTGCATCATCAGTGAAGACACCGACTAAATTATTGACATTTAATTGCAATCGATGGCATATTTCTCTTGAAGTTCTCAAAAATGTCAACTCCACAAGTTTTTCCAGTTAGTGTACCCAGAGCAAGAAGTTCATAGTAGTAACACTGCAAATTTAGTTACACCATGAATAAAATATAAAATTTCCGCCGAGTCAGTTTTATCAAAGCTTTCATCTAAAGCAATTGAAAAATAAACATCTTCATTTTGTACAATTGTATGACGGCCCACCAGCGGCCGAGCGGTAAAGGCGCCGAACACTGGTAGTTCGGTCCAAGGTTCGAATCCCGAGAACAGGCTGGCTGCATGGGCGTTTTCGTGGTTTTCCCCATGTGTAACATGTACGAGCCAGTTTCCCTTAGAAAGTCCTCCACGAAGGCATCCCTCCTCTTAGGCAGATAGCCCTAGTGTGCTTTGCCATAATTAAATACACACCACACTACAATTGTATGAAGTTGCTCTATCACATTTTCAGCTAATTTGTGCTACCGATCTGTTACAGTTCTGTTTGAAAGAGGCAACTGTTGGTATTTATCAACTTTTTCTGAATCTAACAGACCTACTGCCTCAACAATACATTCTTTATTTCTATGTCACTAAATGGTCTCTTTTTTTAAATATATATGCTATTTTGTATGTAACAGCAACTGCAGTGGTATTTTTCTTTACAAAAGCATTAAAGGACGCTGCTTTTCATTTTTCAATTTTTGAACTGCAGCTTGTCATGATTAACCTCCTAAACTAAATTATTTATGCTCTTTATAAATCAAATAGTGTTTATTTGCATTCCTTTTTTCCAACATATTCAAAACTGTATTACACAATAAGCACACCATTTTATCTTTCACAAAAGTAAAGAAATAATCCCACTCTATATTAAATGTTCTGTTTCCTTCATTTAATTTCCTTCTGTTACCATAGTGGAGAAAAAACAAATATCAAATAGTATCTTTAAGAAAGCATATACTTGCTAAAAATACAATAAAACTTTGCATTAGTAAAACCTCAGAATATGTAAAACAATAACGAGATTTTCACAATGGTCAATAGCAGTACGAGACAAGACAGTTACAAGCACGCACAAATAACTACAAATCACAGCTCCACAATGTACCAGGAATGCTGAGGGTGCGAGGCAGAGGAAGAAATGTAAGTATTGTCAGTTTCTCACAACAGCCACCTTCACAGTGTCTGGTGGTTGCTGTAGTAACACAGTTGGTGTATTTCAAGTAGGGGTGAGCCATGGCCAAAAAGAACAACAAAACAGAGCCTTTATTCTTGGACGCTGGCAAACTGAAAGGTGCACCAGAATGGCAGTAATTTCAGACTATGGAAGACTGATAGAACTGCAACATTGCAGCATTTCAATTCAAGTTATGCTCAGCAGATGGCAGCACATTATTTAATTCTATTAATTTTCAAATTGTTGTAATCTATATAATTAAGTATTAATACAAGAGCTAGAGTCTGCACCAAAAAAACTCACAGAGGCCCCATATGGCCGTACACAAGGCCATACATTCACCATCTTTGGAATATGGGATGGATTTTAAATGTATTTAATTTCTTTATTTTGCATTATTGCAAACACTTGCTGCTGCTATCAGAGCACAACTGAATTGGATTTTGAACTGGTTTTAACTTAGTATTTATTCTTTTATATGCATGTATATATGTATGTATGTGTATGTATATATCTATATTATATCTATAATGTTATATATTATATATATATATATATATATATATATGTATATTAATAGTAATATATATATAATAATTTTTTACTACACTATTGATTTATTATTATAAGTAAAGTTAAAAAAGAGTGAACCCATAGTAAGTTAATTTTGAAAATGTGTTTTAAAGTAACTGAATGTAAATTATTAAAATGTTTTAAGGACTTCAATTAAATCATGCATAACAAAATTTCAAACTTAGAAAAGCAATTAAATTAAAACAGTAATTATCACTATGATCGAAATTAGTTGACTTTTCAAGGGAACAAACCAACTCCCGTTCAATGAACAATAATTAATAAATACGAAAGTGTTTCGTCTTTTACTCGAGTTATAAGTTAAAGCCAAACCGGCAATTCTAAGTTCAGGCCAAATAGTTCGCGAATGATGGAATTTTACGACCAAAAGTGTACTCAAAGAACTATTCTCATGAAGCATTTTAGCAATCAATTTGGAGTAAAGCAATTACTGTAGAAATTTGTAAAACGAGTAATCGTCCCCGACACCTTCCTTTATGTATTTGAGTTCTATATTATTTGTAAAAATTAAACATGGAAAATGAATCGAAATAAATAAGTGAAATAAACATAGAAAATAAGAAAATAATGCAACTTTGTAAAAACAAATCAAAAATAAAAATATAAAAATGTAAATATATAATATATAATAAGAAACAGTGAATGTACATGAAGATATAAAGGCCAGCCAAAAAGGTATTAAGTAACTTACATTCTTTCTAGTGGGAGTTGGCAAAGTGTTTCTCTTCGTGTCTGACTCAGAAGTGGTGGTGTCCGAAAATTCTTAGCGGCAGGGGGGCTTTGAATTATATCAGTCGGTAAGACTTGGGTGAAGTAATTTATGGTAGTGGGTGGGACTTGGAATTCTTGAGGGATGTATTATTGTGGAGTTCTTATTGAGAGAGAATGTCTGTTAAGATTTTTTTGAAAATACTACTAGTGAATGGAAATTAATTAATTTCTGGCTAATTGTCGTGTCGCAATGATTAAGAATTTAGAAAGGAAAAAAGGAATTTTCACTGTCCAAGAGCTATTAGACAGTCTAAAGCATGAAATAGGCCCATTTTTTTAGTAACAGTATAAAATATGTCTGAAGACAATTAGCTTTTTACAATATATACAATTGAGTAATTACACTATATACAAATCCTTCAACTGACAGTCATCCAACTTATACCGCCTTCTCAGGTTTAGGAACAAATTATCATATCCCTATCAGTTAAATGATTTAGAGTGAGTATTTAACGCCTGCTCTTTTAAGGCAATGGTTGATAAATTGAATGGGTATTAGATTATTTTTGAGAATTTTAATAAGGAGCAAAATTTCGCGTTGTAAATCTATTGTATCTGTGCATATATTTTAATTCGTTGGTGTACTTGACTTTTTTCTATTTTAATATAATTTTTCATTTTTATTACTGTTTTTGCAAAATAGCATTAATTTCTAATTTTATGTTATTTCAATTACTTGAATTTATTCATATTCATTAGCTCCACGTTTATTTTATAAAAGTTTAATTAACATGCTAGAGCTCTTGAACAACTCAGTAATTTATAAATTTTATTACATAATTGCTTTTCACTCAAAATTTGTATTAGCAAAATACTTAATTCAGAATGAGTTCTTTGGTACTTTACTTGTTCTAAATCCATCACTTCACGAACTATTTGGCCCAACTTATTGTCAGTTTGGTATACCATTTACATGAGTAATAGCTTGTATTTATCATTATTGTCATTGAACGGGAGTTGGTTTGTTCCCCTTGAAAAGTCAACTAATTTTCCGATCAATAGTGATAATTACATGCTTTTAATAATTTCTTTTTCTAATTTTGAATTTTGTTATTCATGATTAATTGAAGTCCCATAAACTTTTAAAAGTTACATTCGTTACTTTAAAACACGTTTTCGAAATTAAACTCCTTTGGGTTCACTCTTTAAATTCTACAAATTTATAAGGAATAATATATCAATTTTCTTTAGTAAATAAATTATTATTATCTTACTTTGCTGCTATTGCACAAGTATTAGAAAAACTTGTTTTCGAACTAAGTGAATTTAAGATGATACAACATATATATATATACACATACACATAAATACATACTGTATGAATGCAATAACAAATTGCATACATACAGTATTTTTCAAATTAACATTCTGAAAATCTATTTCAAACATTCTTTTCTGATATGAATTTTAATCAAGCATAACACAAGAATAATTTTTAAGCCTATTAATTTCATAATTCCAAAATTTAATGCTTTTTAATGTACAGTCTCTCATCAGCATTCATTACAATACACATCTAATACAAGCTCAACCCATAAAAAATTGAGCACTAAAATAAATATTCTCACATTTCTCTAAAAAGATTTATTTACAAGGTCAAAATTCTCATTCTACAAACAAATAATAATAAAACCAACATAGAAATTTCGTCCCAGAGTAAGCGAATGTGACTCTGAGAATCAGAACAGAATAGCCTTAAAAATTATATTGCCAGTCAAAGCAGAAACCTTTGAATAATTTATTTTAGGTAACTAGCACCAAAACTTGTACATATATTTTCTACAATTAATATATTTACATGATGATGAACTTGCAACACAAAACTTTAATGCACAAAAAACAAAACCCCAGCCCAAGGAGGATTTTAAGAGGATTTATACAGTATTATTTTTACACATGAATTATCACTTTTCATATTAAAAAAAATTACATACTGCTTATGAAAAATAAATGACAGAAAAGCTATTTGCATTAAAATGTTCTTTGAAGTAACAGAAAAGTCAACTCCTACCACAACATAACTTTCAATAAATAATATATTTTTCAAATAATTTCATTTTTATTAAATGAAATTAACAAAACACAGATAGCATTTTCAGATTCATTTAAGATCAACCAGGGAAAATATATGTTAAAATGACATTCAGCATGAAAATTTAGAAATTGTCTCTTTTTTATACCACTTAATTACTATATCAGTTTCCCGTCATATAAGTATAGATAAAAATTCACATAATACAGTACTCAAAATGATATTCTTAATTTTTCTTCTTTGAAATAAAACTAATTTAAAAACAAATAAAACTAATTTTCCTTCTTTAAAAGTCTTTCCTCGTCTTTAAAAATAAAGCAAAACTAGTTTATTCTCTAAAGTATTTGATTTTCGATAAAACTGAAATACAAATGTATAATATGTCCTGATAATTTTTCACTGCAATATTCAGCAAAACAGTTACTATTACCAATAACATCACTCAATAATAGCTTTGTCTGTCTATTCAGGTATCAGACTGATTTTCTATACCAATTAAACTTGGATAGTAACAGTTATAAAATGTGAAATTATTACGCATTTTCATCAACATGAAAAATTAAATCATATTTGAGCTATTACAATGTTAATTTTTATAAGGATGTGATTTGTTGGCATGTGATAAAAAAATTACAAAACTGCATAATTTTCAAAGCATTAGCAAGATATTGACTTTTTATCAAAATCCTATATGATGATAAAGACAGATAATGACTGAAGCAACACACCAATGGCCGCTGGTATGAAATTAATAAATTTAAGAAATAAAGCAATTTGCATGTTTTATCAATTTCTGCATTATTCTAAAATGATTGATTAAAATTTCAAAATAATTTTGCCAACTAAACAGAAAATTATGAAAATGCAAACTTTTTTTTGTTAAGATGGTAAATATTCTAAAGTATTAATTAGCAGCAAAAAGAAAATTAAAAGTCCCAAATGAAGAGTAAATTCCTCAATTATTATCAGATTACAAGCATTTCACAAATGCAAATTTATTAATATCTATAATAATTCATTAAAATCTATGAAAATAATACTTATTTATGTGCAGATTATATTGAAAAATGTAAGATAGCATATAGAGTTCAGAAACCAAACATTTAATATGAACTGTTTCAAATAAACAAAAGACTGTACAAATTCAATCCTCTACATAAACATTTCAAGGGATGATTTTATTTAGTGTACCAAAGAGAAAGACTAAAAGGTGAATGATAAGGAAAAGGTAAAAAAATATGCATGAAAAACACGAATGCAATTAATTTTATTAAAAAGTGCTGAAATTATGCTTTTAACATGAACACTACACTTTACAGTAAATTAAAGTTCATAAATTGAGTTTTAAAAAATTAGAAATTTTAAATATTCTTCCTCAGAGGCAAGAAATTCCATAGCACAACCCATGTAATTCATAAAATTCATATCAATGTATATTTAACAAAATGCATTACTAGTTTAAATGAATTGCAAAACAGCCAGCTATCAGTAAAATCCTTGCCTCTGTTAATTGTTCTGATAAAAACAGCACTAAATACATTTAAATACACCAATGAATGAAATAGAAAAAAACAACATTAGGTTACTGATTACCTGAGAATAGTTAAACTTAAAACATACAAATAATGGAAAATGTTGAATTAATATTATTTTATATGGAATCTGGCACATAGTTGATTTATTAAGAGGTTATCACACATGGCTACAGGCCCTGCTAGACGGGACTTTTCTGAGAAACGAGATTCTGGTAGCACTGGTTTAAACGGGAGGATTCCTAGAAAAAAGAGCTCTGCCTGAAGCGAAGCCCACCTGGCTATGGAAACAATGTTGTGGCTACGGGGAATTTTTCAAACCTGACCGAAAATGTCTTGGCTGGACCTCAGTTCTGGATAGAGACAACCAATCAGACAAAAGTTTTGCTTCTGAAGCCTCACGTGATCCAAATCTGAGCGATAATCAATTAGTGTTTGGCGTTCAAGTCTTTGTAGTAAGTGAAAATGGTAACTTAGCTACGTGGGTTTCCTGGAATTGTGCGGATTCTGAGAAATGTCCCTTTCGATGTCAAGTCCTGCGTAGCCGAAACATAACGTGATTGGGACTTCAGCAAAAAAAGGTGTTCAAATTCAATGCTTATTAATTTTGAAATTGATACAATATTGCTTACTACTTTTAATTCCTTATATTACGTAACTCTGAGATATTGGTTATAATTCTGTTCTCTGTATAATATGGCTATGTTGGATGTAAATGCATGTAATGTAAGAGGATGGACTGTACATATGCTGAAACTAAGAAACAAGAGACTTTAAACTAAGAGACAGCAGAACACATACATACATTTAAGTGAGGCATTTGCCTTTTGAAAAAAAGAGTTGCTATTCATTGTCCATTGTAATAAATGCAATATGTTTTCCTAATTTCTTTGTTAACCTCCAGAATTCTTTTACCCCCTCCCTTTCCCCAATGAGAAATAAAAACAAGCATTTTTATAAAATGCAAATAAAAGCTCAACTTCTCTCATCATCTAAACCAAAAACTTAAGCTGTCATTAAGCAAAATTATAACAGCAGTTCTTAAAAATATATTTTTGTTAGTCTCAATCATTAATAGTGGAAATAAAATATACTTTATGCACTTACTTTAATAAATAAAATTACCAAGCCCTTAAACAATGCAAAAAATGAATTATTAAAAATCGTTTTTTATGTTTACCTGTAAATCAGATTTTAGGGTAAAATTCTGTCATGGTGAATAATAAAAATATACATTACACAACTTTTTCTTTAACATGGACAATGCAAGCAAAAATTATGTGTTTACAATCAAACAAAAATTGGATAAAATAAGATAAGTTTATTCATCACATTATAATTATTTCACAAATGGCATTCCTACGTAACAGAACACTGGATAACATATGATATGAAGAGTCAAACTATTGTTAAGAAGTGATGTCTATGATGTATAGCATTTTTAAAACTGAAATGTTACATGTAAAATGATGGAAGTTTTATGTTTTACATAGCGATAATTATATGCACGTTATTTTTAATTCAATACTATTGTCGGATCTTCTACAAAGTTACTTCTGAAATTAATTTTAAGAAGTAAGCTTACGTTACTGTTTCACTTATTAAGTTTAGCGAAAAAAGTCCACTCTGTGGTTATCTCCTCAGAATGCAACAATGAAACAGAACTACATGCTTATTATATAAAATTTATTTTTGATAGTCCATTTACTCCTCACTGAATATACATTAATGAGTTAAATAAACAAAAAATTCATTCTGGAGAAGATTTGCTCATCAAGAACGGTAAAAACAAATCATTTTGCTTTAAAATAAAATAAAATATTGTGTTCGTAACTGCTTTTCCTAAAAAGGGTAGATGAAAACATGTCTTCTGTCAGATGCTAACCAAACTTTAAGAAAAAAATGGAATGATTAATTTTAATGAGATAATCTTGACAACTGCTAATTAAAAAAAAAACCCTCCATAATAATAATTTTATACTCTGAAATACAGTTTGAGAATGATGACCTCCAATTAACGCATAATTAGCATATTCACATATAATACAAATGTGCTTAAGTCTGATAAAAATAAATAAACATTTAAAACATTACAAAATACCATGCATAAAAATTCTATACAAGTTTATACACAAGGACAATATTTATTTATCATTCATATTTATATATATGTTATAAATACACTTTCCTATTTATTTATTTATTGAGGAAAATGACATCTGTTTCTTCCTACAATACATTTTGTACAAAATGTTTAATGTTAAATAAACAAAAGCACATTAATAATTTGCTGCAAGATCAATACAACAGAAAAATTTTATTTTCAGTTTTCAATTAATTTCAAATATCTTTTATATCAATAAGTAGTTTAAAAGAGAGTTTTTTTAATTTATTGTGCCAGCAAATGCTAAAAACCTTTCAAGGTAAATTAATAAATATTTTATTTTTATAGAAAGCAGTAGAAAATGTATGGTTGTGGCTTAGAACCATTAGTTAGAAATATATATTCATTCAAACCATTAGTTAGAAATATATATTAATAGTAAATTCAAATGGCAGAGAATTTAAGAAGGAAAAAGGACTAAATAACAATAGCTTGATTTGGAGTAGAATTTACTTTAAAGACAGAATCAAAGCAAAAGTGTATGAAGAAGCGGAAGCTAAAGCTATTTCAAAATAGAGATAAACTGCAGTGTTATCAATTTACCATAATGAAGATATTTAACAAAAATAAATGTTTTTACAACCAGCTACAGTTTTGATAGCACTAATAATTACAAATATTACAGAACAATCTAATTAACCTTTTAAAAAAATATTCTATTTCTAATTAAGAACCTATTACTACTACTTAACTTTTTAATATTTTACCACTGATAAAAGTGAATTTAAATATAAACAATAATACTGAACATGAAAAGTTCTATAATAATCCAAATATTGGATACAAACTTATGACTACATTAAACATAAATTAACAAAATATAAAAGCAAAATTTATCAGGCCAGCCATTAAAGATACATATTTAATATAACCTAAGATTTGTTTTAATCAGTTCAACTTGCATGCTCAATTCCCTTTTTAATTAAAAATTTAAGAGGCAACCAGCAACTTATTGTAAATAAATTTAAAAATACATAAATTTTATAAATACATTTATAGAACTTTCCCTTTTATTATAACAATAAAACTTTTCGTCACAAATAACTGTTTCAGAATTGAAAGCAGTAACTCTTAATTTCTATTCTATTTATAAAAAATTACCTTACGCTGATTCTAATTTTAAACAAGAAACAGAGACACATGTATGCTGTAGAAAAGGAAGTCTATTAATGACATGTAAACAGATATGTATTGAATTATAACTGTAGCATGAGACATGCAATCTAATAGTGAATTTACCTCAAACTGAGAAAGTCACAATATTGACTTATTAATAACTAAAAAGCTAGTCTTAGTTAAAAAAAAAATATGTGGAATCTACCTTAAAAATAATAACTTAGTTAATATAAGTCAATGTTAAAATTAAATTAATATTCTCTTAATAATATTTCTGATTCTAAATTAAGCTAAAATTTATAACCAAAAAAAAAGTATGTTTCTCAATCAACAAAAGACCAATTTCAAGAGTATTTTTACAAGACCATATTTACTCATGTATTTTGCCCTCTTTTTTTTTAAATACTTTTATCATGAAAAAATAGAACCGGGAAAATTACAGAATAATTTAATTTCTAAAGGATATAGTTATAGCAAGAAAATACATTAAAAGTATTCAAGGATAAACTACCAGAAATTATCACATTATTATTATTATTTAAATGAAACCTACATTTCAATAAGAATACAAAGAACATTAACATTACAATATCTAATAAGATATCTGTATATCTACTCTGTACCTTGAACCCACTCTTATTGTAATTCACTGCTACTCCCTTGGTTTTAAATCATTCCATGCTGCTGGAAATGCTGTCTGTGTCATCTGTTAACTTTATTATTATCTTTCAAACTGCCTTCCCAACTGCAATAATCTTCAGAACAATCCCCATTTTCTTGAAGCATTTCTCTATAATTGCCTCATCAATCAGAGCCCATACACTCAAAATACACAAGCAAATCAAATCAATGGAAGGCCTCCGAATTTTTCCAGTTTTAGGAACACAATTAAACTCTGCTGATATCCACTTATAAATGTTTCAGAGATGCTCTTTGAGCAGTTTATTTAGTGATCCATTAAATAATTGCAGAAATCTTGTAAGTGCTCTTGGAATAATGACAGGAATGGTGTTTGCTCAGTTCAGTTATTTAAAATATATATATTCTACAACATGCCTGCAGAAGCTGTCCAATATTAGCAATGACTATGTATAAGATGGGATGAGTTTATACAATTTGAAGCTACTCTTTCATTAACCTTTTGATGGTCATCAATGAGATTAGCTTGTATTTCAGTTATGCATCACAGTGGGCATAAACAAATACAGCTCACATTACAAATTTATAATTAACAGACATTGTGTGCATTTGGGAAGAAAGAAATGCTCAATCTTGCAACTGGCGAAAGGTTAAGACAGATGACATCCAGACTTAACACATTACCATTCTTAGGGACAGCAAAGAAGATTTATTAAGACCTTTGCAGGTAGTTTCTGGAGGTTTGTCCTTGTTAATTAAACAGAAGGGGGGGGGAAAACCACTATGTGAGCAAATCCTTTTTAAATTTAGGGTCTTCTGAACATCATGAAAAAGAGAGAATTTACATGTATCTCTTTAAAGTTTTCAGAATCTTGTGCTAAACAGGTAGGGAGACAAATACACAAGTATAAATGGTATTAACCAGTAATCAACAAAACACAAAATAAATAATATTCATTAACATTTTGGAAGAAATCCAGCACAGAAACATATGAAACCTATGAAAGTGATTAAGTTCAATATTCTTAAGGCTATAAAATTTTTGCACAGCACAATTAAATACCTCATTAATAAACTTATGGCAACTAAAAACTACTTTTTAATTTTTTATAAACTTTTCTGAATTTCTAGGTTCCGCAAATTTTGCAGCAATCTGATTATTAAAATGAATACTTCAAATTATTTATTCATAAGGAACAAAAGGAATGAGGAAAAATAGTTTAATATTTTTCTCCTCGACGAGGTTTCCTCATGTAAATCTCCACAAGATTTACATGAAAATAATTAATAAAACAGCCACACCGATATGGCAAAATTAACCCAACTTTGACTTCCACTGAAATCTAAAGGATTAATTAATTAAAATACTATACTGGAAGCTCTCATACATAAAAAATTTAATGTTATTTCTAGTGAATAAAACTTAAATGGATATTTGTGTTAGTATTAGACATGAATAAATAATTTAGTATTAAAAGCAAGCAATTTTCCATAATTAATGAAAGGATAATTCAACTTCCAGTACATTATGTGAATCAAATAATAAAAATAAATTTGAATATGAATAAGAATACGGATAGCATAATATTAAAAATATATATAACACTCCTTACAACAATTTTAACATAACTTTCAAATAAAATTCAACAAGCAAATAAATTAATATTTTAGTATTATAAATAGTATATTTTATACATGCAAATGTTTTCCCAAAGTTTTTGCTATATTTAGTCTTAAGACAAAAAAAAAAAAAAAAAAAAAAAAAAGTACTTAAAAAATAAATGAATGCTAGGAAAGTAAATAGGTAAATTTGTAGATATTTAAAGATAAATATATGGATCAGGATCACATAGCTACAGTTCAAAGTTGCGGTTAAAATCATGATTTTTAAATAATTTTCCACAGAAATTGCTGAGACAGACAAGTAACCATTTTGCTTATTATGAAAAATGAAAAAGTTCCCTAATTTTAAATACTTCAAACAATTCTGAACCAAACATATGTTTAAATGAATATTTACAGTCCTATACTTACATGATTATTTGCCATTGAGTTTCTGATACAATAGCATTGTGTATTACTGAAGTTAGCATGATTCAATATGAACATATATGGTTGGTAAATATACTTTGTATTACAGGGCTTTGCCACCACATGAATTCTGACTGTACAAATCAAAATACACCAGATTAACACAAATAGCAAGAGAAAACATTACTTTGCATAGTATAATGGAAATAAAACAAAATTATCCATAGTTCTGACAAACTCTTCACATATTTACAAATTCAGTCCCAAAACTATATAACAATATATCAGTAATGGCTGTGTTAAAGATGATGTGCTAAATATATTCATTTTCCATTTCAGTTCAGCACAGAGAGTTTTAAAATATTAAAACAATGATTTTATGTAATCTACAGACTATCATGAAAATTTTGATTTCTTTTTGTCAGCTTTCTTTCTTGAATGTTTTATTTTTTTTATATAACACTCCACAAGATATTTTACTTTCACTGGGTTGATCTCGCCAGACTTATTGTGACAGATCTGAAATAAAGTAACATGCAATGCATTGTTTTATAAACATTAATAACACATAAAAATACTTGATTTACAAATACTAAATGATTATATTTTGCTTAAATTTAAAATAGCAAGATGTATAAAGCAATAATAATATTACAAAATATGAAAATGCAATAAAAGTATTCCAAAATTTCCAAATTTCTTTATAGAATCTTCAATACATTGGAGAAAAAAAAAAAAAAAAAAAAAAAGCATATATATATGCAAGAAGTTAAAGACTGATTGCAATTATTGTGATAAGGAAATTATATTTTGCTCAATTCCTTTTTCTACCCACTAATCTGAGATTGCACCATATAACCTGAGAAGCATTAGGCGCTGATATTTTTAAGGAGGCTTGGAAATCCATCTCTCTTCTGTGTCTGCATCTCTTCTGTATCTGCATTAGAAAATTCTTAAGTTTTCTAATGCAGATAGAGATGCGTAAAGAATACAGTTAAGAAATGTTAACAGCAGAAGTAAAACCTCTGTTGTTTAATAAGTGATTAAAAAAAAAAGGAAGCATTACTGTGATTCAGATGGAAAATGGGTTAGCAGTCAAATTTATTAACATGCTGCAGACACTTTGCTATAGCACAATGGTTCTATATAAATTCCAAGAACGCATTCGCTATGAAAATTCCTTAACCACTACTGTTTCAGGTGGATCCTTATTAAACAATATACAGCTACACAGGAAATTCTACTGAATAAAATTAGATCATTATATTTTAAATCACACATACATTCTGAACATATCTTTTTTATGGCAGGCTAAATGTGAAACTTCAAAGACAATATTCTCAAAATTTCCGAATAAACAGTAATGAAGCAATTCTGCATTAGATTAACACAAATTATAATACAATATGGCTTAAGAAAGTGACCTAAGACTGAAGAAATGATTAAGAGAGAAATATTCTTCCACAAAGACATAGTGCAGGGACAAATTTTCAGATATAAATTTAATCTGGATCTGAACTAACCCCTATATACATAAAATTTTTTGTTTAAAAACTCATATTTGACTTTGTTCACAGAAAATTCCTAGCTTGGGTTATTTACCTAAGAAATATAAAACAGTAATCATAATTCTCTGAACAGCAATTGCATAATAAAGAAACAATTTGAATTCATAAAATTAAAACCGATTTATATTGAACAGAAATGAAACTAAGCTTTCAGTATTCACAGAAGGACATAATGCCATGCAATGCACTTCCTTCCCTTATCTAAACTTACGTCCTTTGAATAGAACACATATTGCTTTCTACACCTTTACCAAGAAATACTCTAATGGAACTACTTAAATAGTAACCTTGATAAAAATTGTGGATTTTGCCAAAAAATGTTCTTAATAAAGCTAGGGCAGAAAAAAGAAAGCAGTACCTTTAGTGTGGGTAGTAAACATCACCCAAATCTGTAATTTTCTGCCAATGTTTTGGTAGTTTTTCAAAGCCTTCAGCTCAAAAACTTGGTGGCCATGAGTCCAAAAATAGATCAACCTCATTTTGGGCATCTTGTGCAGAATGGAAGATAGCACCAGCAAGATGTAGCTGCAGGTGCGAAAAGAGGTAGAAGTCCAGTGATGTCAGGGCTCTAAGGTGGGTGTGGCAAAAGATCATATTCTAATCCGTACAGAGTCCTGCCAATGAATGCAGACACATGTGGTCTTCCATTATCCTGATGCAACATTAATTTTTTGCTCTGGAACTCAGTTCGACATTTTTTCTTGATAGCAGCATCAACACGGACTAGCATCTTGCTTTATAATCTTACTGTCGAGGGTTTTACCTTTTTCCAGATATTCTTTGTTGTCAAAGTGCACTTTGAGATACTGTTGATGGGTTGACCGAGCACGGACCAACCCCTTTTACGGCCTGTTGAAGTAAATCCACTTTTCATCACAAGTGACGAACCTGTCCAGAATTTTGACCTTGTTGATATTCAAGCAGATTAGTGCAGGCCCAAACACATCTGTTCTTATCTGCTTGAGTCAGCTCATGCGACCCAGTGATTGAACTCGTATGTCAAGTTTATGCGAGGCATAGTGCATCTAATGGACATGGCACTAATGCCTAACTCTTTAGGAAGCTCTCAAGTGGTTGCATACTGATCTTCTTCCACAAGTTTTCGCAGGCTGGCCTCATCAACATCAGTAGACCGGCCAGGGCACTTTGCTTCTTGAATGTCATTGTCTAGTCCTTGTTTTTGAACTTTTGGTATCAAACCTTCACAGTATCATGTGATACGACATTAGTACCTAAAGCTGTACACATAATTTGGTGACATTTTGTAGCTGATGTTTTGCATCAGTACTGGAAGTAAATAATGCTTCTTTCTTTCAAATGCGAAAAATCATTTGACAAAATATGATTAAACATGCCATTGTGAACTGTTTGCGCTGACGATATTTGCAGTGATGGGAAACTTTTGTTAAAATCCGATATTTTAGTTAAGATAACAGATGTCATCCATGCAACCCATTAAAAAACCAATAATATGATGATATAATTTTTGCATTTTTAAAATCATTAGATTTTGTTCATTAATAATATTTAAATTCAGCATTATGTTATACTATATTTAAGTATTACAAATCTGTGGGAAACTGTTCTCTCCTTTTTCTCTTTCTCCCCCCTTTTTTTAATGTGCATTAATCTATATATCCTTGAATATTGGCTATTCCCATACTCACATATCTCGTACTTTCTACTAGAAGTATGGTGAAATTCACTAGCCATTTCGCTGCTAACTCAGCTTTGAGACACAGCACAGAAAAAAAAAATCAATTATTACACATGTGAAATGAGGAACAGAAAACACCCATATCAATGTCTTATCCAAAGCCATGCTTGTTAGCATGGGAAGTGCTTCTGATATTCATAACATTAACCGGACTCCATTCAGCAAATTTATGCAGTTTTCTTGGTTTTCAAATTGAACCAATAATTTATAATATGATGGGAAAGAAAGAATTAAATTTGATTGAATTGATTTAAGGAAATTAGCACAAATGTAAGCTTTAATAATAATGAGGAGTATGGAGATATTATTACAAAAATAATCATGACTCATTTTCTCAAGAACAGCTTGGTGAAGAGAGCAAAAACAAAGATGATTATTATCTTAAGAAATTATATACATGATAATAAATGTAACCCATAATTATACCTGAAATTTACAAAATTTATAAAAAAATCCTTAAATATAAAACATATTAAAGAAATTCAGCTACAGTGAATTATCATTTTAAATTAAAAATTTTAATAAAAAAATAACATGGATAACACTTGTTGACAAAATGCTCATTTATGCAAGCTTTCGGATATGCCTGCTTATCAGTTAAATATAACCACAGGATCATTATACCTCTTCATAACAAAAGCAAAGCAAAATCTAGAAACGAAAAAACATTCTTCCAATTCATGTACTGAAACTGGAATTTTGCATAAAATTGTTATGAGACAATATGTTTATTCATTACATATGGTTATAGAACATATTTTAGTCTAAATTAATTGTACAGTGCAAAAATATTTTCAGTGTATATATTTGCAACGACATGAATGCATGGCTTTAGTACATGTTTGTAATAAGTACGAAAAACACACTTACTGAAATTTAAAACTTTGGAATGATTACTATTTACTTTTAATAAATGTTATAATTCGAAGCATAATACAAACCTAAAGCTACTTTTGATGATAATTTTAAAATAATTTTTTTGTAAAAAATAAAATCTACAAGGGAAGGGAAACAAATTTTAGGAAACTACAAAAATTTATCTTACTTTGGGTACAGATTTCCTTAGGATATCCTTATATTCTTCTTTGCTTATTTCTCGAGACTTGTAATATGGCTTTAGAGACAGTTTCACTTCTTCAACAACTCGCTCTTGTCTGTTTAGTTTCTTTAAAAACTGCAACAAATATATGAATATAAGAAGGAAAAGCAAAAGATTATCACAATAAGTGAAATTTAAAAACAAAATTAAAATTTCTTTCTAACTCTCAACTAGAAGTTAGTAAATAAAATATTTTTAATTGCTTAAATTTATTATGTTAATCACATCTCAGGCAATTTACAATATTCAGGATCTTATTCTATTTAAACTTCAATATACCTCAACAATACGCACAGTATAAAGAAATGCACTTCAGTACTGTTTCAAATGAAAACAGATTCTTAAAACACACACCTCGCCCAAAAACATTATGTGCACATACACAATTAAATTTAAATTAATAAGATATATAATAATGTGAATAAGCAACACAGTAAAACCTAGATTATCTGGAAAATTTGAGATATGCTGAAGGCAGGGTTGCCACTCAAAGAGAAGAATGAAATTCCCTGACTTTTCCACGTGTGTTTTAAAAAAATTCATATGATAACAGAGTTTTATCATGCAGTTTAGCACATACAGAAGGATACACTGCTATTTCATCAGCGGTGCTCTCACAGTAAGTATGAATACTATATACATGTTTAAACCAAGGGAAACAAGATTTAAATTTCCATCACCAAAGCATATTTGCTTTTTCTTACAGACCGTAACCCATTATTCAACACAAATAACAATATTCTGTCCTCTCTCCCTCGACACTAATTAGAAAATTTTCGGTATAGCTACTCAGTAATACCAGACTTTCTCTAATTTGTGACATAAACAAAAAAACAAAAATCAAACAAATTTGTGTTAAGACACAATAACACGCCAAATAAATACTAATTCAGAAGTCAAACAACAAAAATCAGCATTATATTTACAAAATTTTTAATTTACAAAGCGTTACAGCATTATATTTACAAATTTGATAAATTTGTGTTCTTCTTCGTACAGAGATATCTTCAAAAATCTGTATTCCAGGATTTCTGTTACAAATTCAGAATCCACAGATCTGGAAATGACTTCTAAGTTTTCTATACAGAAGATAATTCTGCTCAAGTGCATTTTTTCACATTTTTAAATCAGCACATTTTAGAACTTCCACTTTAGCAAAATCTAGGGCATGCAGATGTTCATTCTCCTTTAATATAATATTGTTTTCACTTAGTAACAAACTTTTGAAACAATCTGATTTTTGGCATACCCATCTTCAGTTTCCAGATGTACGTTTTTGTTTAAAATGATAGGTATATTCCTTACATGCTATTATTAACTTCTTGAAGTTTCCAAAGTTAATTTCAAGTACTTTTCCTTAACTGTTTCAATTAAAATTGAGTACAGTCCTAAATGAAATGATAACATTAGTTAAGCCTGTGTTTTGAACTTGCAATTCAGTATTACTGTTATCTTAACAGAATTATAATCTTGAAAATTGAAATACTGAAATAAAAAAATCACATTTAATAGGAAGAGGGGGAACAGGAACTTCCCTCCCCCAAAGGAAAAATTGCTTAGTCCAAATTCAAGCATGAGTACTTAAAAAAAAAAGTCCAAAATGCTGAAAATTAATTAGGTGAACATCCAAAAAGTTTATCATATGAACCTTACAGAGAACATTTCCATTCTGAGACATAACATGGCAAAGTCATTAATTATATGTAAAGAAATTGTCAAGATTTTGATCCTGAAATAACCTTTTCATTTTTTTAAGAAACATTCTGATGGACAATACAGTTAAAAGTCTTTAATTCGGACACCCATAATCCGGAATGATCTATAATCCGGACCTCAAAGTTAAAAACTTTCTGCGCATGCGCCGTGTTGACGCATGCGCATAGGCGTTTACGCATGTGCATAAGACCTTTACGACTGCGCATATATGCGTGTGCACAAGCGCAGAATACGTTTTCACGTGCGCATTTAATGTATAACAGTATAAGCTAAAATTATCTAATTATCTATTTCAGTTAATGCTGATGATTGTGTTGTTCCTTAATCTTCGAATTGGATGTGGGTTATTATTTTTTGCAGACTATAAGAGCAATTTTATAAAAGTAAACTTGAACTTTCGATTATTTCAAATAGAATTTCCGATACTGGAGCTCCCAAAGGATCTACAAAACGAAAGTATGTTTCGATGTCCATCAAACAAAAAGTGGAATTGCTGCAAAAAATGGATAAAGACATGAAGAAGGTGACAGAGAGGTTAGTGAAAACGAAAAAAAATTCGATTGACAAGTTAGTCGGTATTCTCGGCACAGCAATTACGAGACTTGAACAGCGGAACTTTGTAACTGAACAAGAAATTATGTCTGTTTATAGAATTAAAGAGAAAGTATTATCACATAAAACGAAGCAACTTAAACAACTTACATTGAAAGAAATGTTTAATAAAGTAAACAAATAAATATAAGCTTTTTTTTTTTTTTTTTGTTTGTTTTGTAAATTTTGATACCCTTTATATCATAATTGTTCTTTATTTCATAAATTCCAGATTCATATTTTTAATTTTAGAATTTCTGCATGCCATCTTACGAGATTTAAACTGATGATCTATAATCCGGAAAAATCGATAATCCGGAATCGCCGAAGTCCCGAGGAGTCCGGATTAACGACTTTTGACCGTAATAGATTTTTTAAAAGATCTTTTTGCTTGATTATAAATGGGGGAAGGGGAAGAAATGCACAAAATAAGGCAGAATATATTATAAATTGGGGGAGGGGGACATTAAGGAAAGGGGGACCCTTAGTGGAGTATCAGTTTACTACAAAAAACAAATAGCTTAAAGCTTTTTTCATGACTATAATATAAGAAAATATTTCATAGCCAGTATTTTGCCATGCCATGCTCTCTTGCACTGTAATAATAATAATAATGATAATGATAGTAATAAAAGGTTTCTTATGGCCATACATTATGAATGGATGAAATTTTTAAAAGTTTAATGAGAGAGGAGACCAAAATAAATGCTATTCCACTTAAGTCTTGAGATGATGATAACCTACAATATCAAATGGCTTATGGGAATAGTCTAAACTGACCTTGATATTTTAAGGGGGTCCTTTTATTTTGTAAATTTAAATACAGAGTAATAGTTAATACATCAGTAGTTCCAAGCTTAACATGATAAAAATTATATATAAAAATTGATGTTTAGGATTGGATTATCTACTTAGAGCTTAGCACTGGCTGCCTGGGCAACAGATAACTTAATGAAGGACATTTGAGGAAAACTAGTTCATATTCACATTATATTAAAGGGAAAGTAAAAAAAAAAAAAAAAATCCATGAAGTTAGCCTATTCACTGGAACGCAATTGCTGGTGCTCAATAATCTTATCCAGTTGACCACTGGGGATCAAGACTGCTTAAATTACTAACATGAAATGTTACGATCTTCCTATATAAGATGATTCATAATACATTTTATGGGAAACATTCAGGATGTTACATTATGACACATATATTCAAATAATATTGTCCTTAAATAAAGGCACTATTTATTAAGTAAGAAACTTTTCTGCAGATTTTAATTTATCAAGAATAGTGAGAAGTGAATAGAAGCAGCTCATTATGGCATAAAAACTGCAGCTAATAATAGTCTAATTATAAATTTCAAAATTCCTGGTAATTTTAATCACTATAAATGTTGCCTCCTTATTCACATGTAATAATCTAAGGACATGTAAAATTGCTAATAAAAACAAATGTTATATAAAACGTAATAACTGTGTTACAAATATAAACACAGTCTAAGTTAATCGGAGAATATTTAAACATTATCAGTACTGAATAAAGTAACAATAAAATATTGATACATTTTTTTTGTAAATATTTGTATTTATTTGCTTATAATTTGGTTTTTGTGTATTTGTTTCTATTATTCTTATTTAATTTCAGTATGATGATTTTATGCAAGGTAGTGAGCAGCTGAAAGTCAAATGGATCAAGATTACTAGTTTACTTTGCATGTGATTTTACTGATTCGTGATATTAATTGCTTGTTAAGAACTTTGTTCCTCCCCCTTTTTTCTCTTTGGACTATTTACAGCTGTTTTATCTTGCTCCTAAGAACTATTCTTATTGAAACAATGTTCAATTTTTGCTTTCTCATTTGGTTCCATTATTTAGAAATCTCTACAAAGCTATAGTATGCAACAACTAATGTCAAACCTGATTACTTCTTTTGAATGCTTGCTAGAGAAAGATCGAAATACGGTTGAAAGGAATTATGGGCATGGCAGGTAATGAGATGAAGAAAGAATGCCACAGAAATGAAGGAAATATAGTGTTGGTTCACTCTAAAATGTAGGACTTTTTGAAATAAATGCTGAAATGAACAATTCTGCTCATTTAACGGTCAAGAAGGTGAAAGAAGTCGGTGATATATAGGAAGATCTTAAAAGCATGTGAAATGAGAAAACAGCTACTACAAAAGTAAAATTCAAAGAAGAGCAAGACAGTGTAATGGCTTCTGTTAATCAAGAAACTATTTTAATGACATTTTTAAGACATTTTTTTGCAAGTGACTGGCAAAAGAATAACAAAGATTAGAGACAAAATTTCTGAAATTCCCTCAATCTGTGCTTAAGCTTTCACCCCAGCCTTTTGTGAATAACATGGCAGATCAATCCCCTCAACATATTGCCATATGACAGAAAATCATCATGGAATGTATATAGAATATAATATGAAATGCTTTTACAGGTGAACTAATGCAACTCTGGTTTCAAAACTCTGTATCTAAATGAAGAAGCTGCACACTTCTTTGCAGATTCCTTTGAATGTGAGATGTGGCTTGGCAAAAACTTTTTCAAAGATTATCACCAGCTGCACCTTAAAGCCGAGATATTTAAAAAAAATTGGCTTAGCAATTTTGAATCATTGCCCTAAAATGAAAGACACATACATTCAGTCTCCACTATTTTTTCAATGTTACTGTGAAATGAAGATATATAGCAATCACCCTAAATACTTATAAGTTGGCAATACAAATTTGAAAATTGCTCTAGTACATGCCATGAAAATGC